AAAGTTTTCCTGCAGGATCTCATGGAATAGATTATCAATGCCCTAATGAGTCTCTTCGCCTTCTGGGATGCCTATTATCTGGATGTTTGGACGTTTGATGGTATCTAGTATTTCTCGTATATTAGTCTCAAATTCTTGGGCCATTTTCTCAGTCTTCGTGGTGGATTTTTCTAGGCTAGCAATTTTCTCTTCTATGTCTGAGATTCTATTTTCTGTATGACCTAGTCTGCTTTTAATACTTTCAAGGGAGATTTTGACTTCCTGTATTATAGCTTTCATCTCTAATAGTTCCATCTGATTTTTTTGTAAAGTGTCAAATTCCTCTTTTAGATCTTGCATGAATTTCCTCACCTCCTGGAACTCAACAACTTCTTTCTCCTTCCTCCTCAGCAGTCCATTGTCTCTCTTCTCTTCCATCTCTGTTAGTTTTGCCATTATGAATGTTCTGGATTCTTTATCAGACATTTCCATGAATTCCCGTGAACTGTGTGTGGATGAAGACGAGTTATCCTTTTCCCTTGTGGGAGAGGTATTTTCCTGCTTTCCCATATTTCTTGTGGTCCTGCAGTGATTTCTAGTCATCTGGTTGAGGTCAGTTTCTTCCCAAACTTGGAAGTTCAATCGTCACGGACACCATGTCTGGCAGAGCACGGTCAGCACAGAGGCAGTTCTCCCCAGCGACCACTTTCTATCTCTCTGTCTCTCTCTGTCTGCCTGGCGAGCACACGCGCCCTCTAGCGAAAATCTCTCTCTCAAAAAAAAAAAAAAGGGAACGTATGCAAATTATGTGAAGAACTCTTCTAATGTATTATTATTGATATTATTTTTAAATAATTATTTCTTTAATTTTATTTATGCTTTCATTCATTTTAATTTGACCAGATACATGCACACATGCGCGAACGTGTGCACGCGCACAGTGAGAGAGAGAGAGAATGAGGGAGAGAGAGACAGACAGACAGACAGACAGAAAGTGAGAAAGCAAGTCTCCAGGTCATGTGTACAATGAAGGGGCACAGAAGCCCAGAACAACAGTGAGGATGCCATGAGATAGTTCACTAAGAGTTCTTAGCCCAGGGCTTAAGGACCATGAAGATAACCTCAGGCGCAGAAGCAGGATGGATGCCCAGCACAACACTCAACCTGATGTCCCAGGAGGAGTCTTTCGAAACCTAGGATGAACCTAAAGGGCAGGGAAGTTATGAGGGGTTACGTTCAGGCTTGAGGAAGGGAGATGGGAAGCGCCGCATGCAGCCTGGTGACTGGGAGCATGGCTGTCAGGAGAGAGTGCCAAGCAGGTAGTTGTGTCACCTCCCAGCTCCCAAACCTGGGGTTTGACTCCCTGAGCTGCCACTTCCTGGCTGTGTGACTTCAGGCAAGTGTCTCCTCTTTCCAAGTCTCAGTTTGTTCATCCATGGAATGGACCTGATCACTCCCTTCCCCCAGGGCTGCTGATAAACGGAAAGAGGCCCAGACAAGAAACCGTACATGCGCAGTGAGAACAGCATTATGCCTAAGAGTCAATAGCAGGAAACAAGTGCCTAGACAATGCTCGTCAGTCAGCACATGCATGAGTAGTCAGGCCCAGGCCGGGCCAAGAGAAGGCTGTAAGTGATGCCAGGAGCCACAACATGCCTCTCTGCCAGGGACCTGGTGCATATTAAGGCCTTAGAAAACACTTGGGGACATGAATTGTGGCCTTTGTGGAAGGACTCAGGCTAGGGGTAGAATGGAGTCTTTCCTGAGTCTCCTGTTGGCCCTCTGACTGAGGAGGTAGCTGTCTCCGTGGAACCAGCCTGGCTCTCCTGCAGGATCCAGCATTGGCCCCACATTTCCCAGGGTCTTCTTTCCTCTCTACTTTGATGCTGGGCCTGAGATGACTAGTGTCTGCTTCCCTGTACAGCCTACTCTCAGTGCTGCTCCAAGTAGAGGGCAGGGGTCCAGGGATGAGCCCTGGAGAAGTCCACCTTGGCAGGGGAAAGTGAAGTAGGGAGAGAGGCCAGTGAGCCTGGAGGCCTGGGAAAGTGGTGCCCTGACCAGCACCAGCACCAGCACCAGCACCAGCACCAGCACCTTGTCTCTGAGACCTGCTTCCTCCTCCTTTCCAGGTGGGTTTTCCTATCTCAGAAGCCCTCTATACATGGTGCTCACACTTGTGCCTGTGGTTTATGGTGAGGTCCCCCTCCCTGATATAAGAACAGGCATGTGCCTCTGCCCACCATGTGCATGAGCATCCCAGGAGGCCATGGTTGTGTGTAATCCAACTTGCCAGTGCTGGAAGCCCAGGCATCCCTCTTCTCCCCCACACCCCCAACTGGGACAGAAAATGGTATAGGACTCAGGGACTCCATTTTATTTTGTGTGTGTGTTTTAGGAAAAAAAATTCGAGCTAGGGCTTGAATTCTGTAAAATTCTAGAATGTCAGTGTGGCCACACACAGACCCAGGAACCAGAGGCAGAAATCCCAGCACAGCCAACAAGTGGGAGACCTCTGAAACCTGTCTGAAGTCCAAACCAGCTTCCTGGATGTGACCTATGCAGTCCCACACTCAGAAGGCCTCCACACATGGTTTAGTGCTTTGTTGTGGCCATTTAGAAATTCTCAATAATTTTTGAGCAAGGACACACATGTTTTCATTTTCCCTTTGGCTTTACTAAATGAGTAACCTGGTCTAGGTCAGGATCTGGCTCTGGCTAAGACATGGAAGCCTTTTTCAAGGAAAAGAGGCAAGGGGGGAGGCAGAGACTTTTACATCACTGTCCCCTTCTCTTCATCCAGAGCTCTGTCTTCCCAAGCTCTGGACATGACCAAGGACCTTGAGAAAGCCCTGGCCCCTGACCTTTCCTGTTACTGAGTCCTTCCCTAGAGGACAAACTGTGTCTGCCTTCACTGTCTTGCACCTGGAGGATTTGTAGCCCCAATCCACAACTCCTCCAGGTCTCATCCAGACCTAGAGGATAGTAGGACCTCATCTGGCCTCGGCCAAGTGGGAGAGCCCAGTCTGCAGGAGCAAAGACTTCTAAAGATCCCTAACCAGCCTCTGTCCCATAACAGGGAAGGGGCTATCTAGAGCATGGAGCTGTGTTTTCATTCAATCCTGCTCTCCCAGCTGTCACGGCTCCTCCTTTTTCCCACTGGAGGTGTGAGAACAATACTGTGAAGACAAACTCATTGTACTTAGGGCTCTGTCCCAGGGAGGAGGTCCCAGATTGTGTGGATGACAAGAGCAGTGCTTGAACATCACTTCCAATTATGGGGGTGCAGGAGGTAGGACCTGTTCAGTGCCTGTGGACTCCCCTCTCGGCAGGCCAAAGAGTAGTGCCGGCCCACAGCCCTCCACTCCATGCCTTCTCCAGCCCCCCTCTTGGCATCTAACCCAAGCAGCTAAACAATACCAGAAGAAATTGCACCGCTTTGCAGATAGCGGCCCCTCCACTCATGGTCTCCACACATGACTGGAACCTCACCTCCAGCATCCTACCCTTCCATACCTATGGGCCTTTGCTGCAGAGGTGGGGCCCGCTTATCTCAGAGAACTGAACAAGTTTCCATGCTGTGAGTCCAACCTCAGGCCGCTCACACCAACACCTGCACAGGTAAAGGAGGAAGCATCCAACTCAATTTTGCAACTTTAATGTAACACTGATACCAAAAACATGAAAACACACAAAAAAGCACACGATGAAAGCGGGAGGAGCAAACAAAGCTTCATCTTGCATGCCACCTTCCACTGACACGGAGAGGCTGTTCAGAGTGCTGGGCTAAGAAGGAATCTGAGGAGGAGGCACTCCGGCTTGATGAGTAAGACTGAAGCAGTTCATCAACGGTGTCTGTAAATGCAAGCAAGAAAAGTAGAAACACACACCAAGCAGTGAGGGATCTCGATACCAAAACAAGGGTGTTGCCAGTCTCTCATCATTGCCTCCCCCCTGCCCCCAAGGCCTCTCTCTGCCATCCACAGCCTCTCGCAGGCTCACATCTCTACAGAAACTCTTACTGGATCCAGGAGAAGAAGCTGGCACCAGCTCTGGCGGCATTTCTGGTCCGGATGGTGGAGCTGGTGCTAGGGCCATCTAGGACGCTGGTGCTGGCCCCACCGTTGGTGCCACTGCTGACACCAGCCCTCCACGTAGCTCTTCTGTTGGCACGGTTGCTGTTCAGAATGTACTGATGATATCTGGCCCAGAAAGCAAAAGGGATCCTAGCCCAGGCATCACCAAAATCTCCGTCCTCATCCCAGGTCAGAAGCTCGACCTGTATGTCATCCCAGCTCCATCGTCCAACCAGAGCTTCGTCCCCGATATTCATCTGGGCCCTCATCTGGGCCCTGGTGTGTTCCTCGGCCATATCCACATCCATGGTCTTGAAGGCATCATCCACAGCTTCCAGGAAATGTGCCTTCCATTCTCGGGGGTCTCGGTTCTGATTCTGAGGTGGAAAGTAGCAAACACACTAACAGAGCCACCCTGTCCACTGGGCACTGCCGCCGGCCAGTCACCCTCTGCCGTGATTTGCATGAGGAAGACAGAAGTACAGACACCTGGAATGGGGCTTCTATGTTCTGTGCCAGACCTGGGATCGCACCCCATCCTGTGTACTCACGACGTCTGTGGACTCGTGAGAGTTACTTAGGAACCTTTCTGAGCCTCGGTATCCTCACTGGAAACTTGGGACAAGAAGGAAGAGGCCGCCACAAGGGTGTAAGTAAGCGTGGAAAGCCCCACCTACTCCTTCCCTTTCTGTCCCATGTCCTTCCCCACTCCCCACCCCTGGGGCCTGGTGCATGGGACCCAATAGGAGCTGTCCCTCACCTGGGCGATGAATCTCAGGACCCTCATCTTGCTCGTCTCATGGCGGGCTCGCAGGCCCCACAGGAATTCATACTCAGGTGGGCTACTGTTGGGGATCTTCTTGTATTCCAGGTACCTTCCAGTGGGAGGAGAAGACTACTTCTAGCCCAGCAGCCCAGGTGCTGCACTGATGGTTCTAGTTGGCCCCACCCTCAACCCAGTGCTGGGGCTCAGCTCCTGGGAGAGAACTGCCCTGCCCTGTCCCTCCAGTCCTGAGCTCGCTCCCTCCAGTCCTGAGCTTGCTCCCTGGACTGCTGCCTCTAATAGGGAGGTCTTTAAAGCCTTATGTCATTGCTCCTGCTTTGAAGCCACCTGAACATGCAGGGGGCACCTGGGTAAGGCATTTGTTCATGGGGGCAGAGGGCAGGTGTTTTTGTGTCCCACGTCACAGTGACCCCAGATTCCTCTGGGTGTGCTATAAGCAGAGGAGCTATTTTCCAGATAAGGCCCTTGCCCACAGCCTGGCTGAGCCCTGGAAAGGTCCACATAGAGAAGGGTTATCACAGAAGAAACAGCCAAGTGTGCTCCATGTGGACTCCCTTTCGCCCGTGTGTGAGTGTGTGTGTGTGTGTGGGGGGGGGAGGTGTTTTTCTGCATGTACGCACTGGCGCCTGAGTGCTCCCACTTCATGCAAGGATAGGTTGGAACCAGGCGCAAAAGTCAGGAGAGCTGGGCCCTGGCTCTTCCTTACAGTGGGCCATGCTCAGAGTCTTGCCTTCTCTAAGCCCTAGGTCCCCTGGGGTAAAGCACGGGACATTCTGGTGACAGCCTGCAGGGTAGGAGCTGACTGAGGTGGTGTCTGTGTCACCCTCAACACTCAACTCTCAGTCAGTGTGTGCTGCCTTTTCCCAGGGCTGCCCTAGAGTTCTCCTCCCTATGCTTCATGTCCCCATCCCGCCCACACCCACACAGACCCACCCATTCTTCTTGTGGAAGACTGGGAATAGAGAATGGCTTTCTCAGCCAGATAGGCATGCAAGGAATACCTGAGAGTGGGGCCAAGTTAGCTCAGTTAGTACTTACTTCTGCTTCACAAAGTCATCAGTGATGAGCTTCCTCAGATCACCAAGGAATGGGTGCTTCACCCTGAGGGCAAAGGAAAGAATCCATGACTAGAGATGGTGACAGCGCCCAGATGTAGGCAGGAACACTCCCTGGCCTGACTCGAGCTTCCCTGCCCATGGGGCAGCCGCATGAAGGCCCAGGCACACAGCAGAGGCCACATGACAAGACTTCTTGTCACGGATGCCCTGATTAGGAATTTGCTGCCGCCCTAACTGTCTCTCTTAGATCTCATCCGGGGACACAGAGCAGAGAAAGGGCTGAGATTCTGTGTCCATTTCCCCACTGACCCTGGTGAGACCCACTGCTCTCTACCTAGGACAGGGCGCCCCATTCTCCTGCACCCAACCACCGGCCTATTGTAGTCCCAGGACCTTTCTGGCTGGAGCATAGCGCTGTGGGACAGGGGCCTAGAGAGGAGGTCAATCATACCCCGGGCGCAGACCCATCTTGCGGAGTGCCTCCCAGAGGACAGCTGTGAGGGGAGACAAGGTACAGAGTTTGGAACACAAAGAGGAAACGGTGGACATCTCCCTCCCCAGCTGTGCTGAGGGTCCGAGCACTCACCCTCACTGGCACGGTTCCCATTCATGAAGATGACGCCCAGAATCACCAAGAGCAGGCTCAGCCTGGGAGTGTCCTTGGTCCTAAAAGTGTAAGAAGAGGTGAATGCCCCTGCCCAGAGTCTACAGCCGACTCATCAGCTAGCCTCTACCAGATTTCCTGGTAGAGGGGACTTTTTCTCGGAGATACTCGGGGCTCATGGCCCAGTCTCAGGCAATTCATCCCTCTATTTCACCCATAAAATGAGGATACTAATACTTCCCTCCCTTACCTCCCAGCGGACAGGGTGAGGCAGGGAGCAAGGCTCAGCGAACGGCAAAAGTATGTTCAGAGGCACGTGCAAACCTTCCTTGCCCTGCCTGCACTTGGGATCTCACTCAGAAGGAAGCCTTCCCTGGAGGGCCACCTTGCCAGGCCCAGGCCAGGCAGACAGTAGAAAGAGGCAAATTTTCTGGAGACGGGGTGATACTTGGCAGCAAGGTCTCATCCCAGGTACTGCCCCACTCATCCAGTAGTCAGTGGGCACCACTGGGTGTGGGAGCCCTGCTCGAAACCCTAGGCCTGTTGCCTGGTTCTCCCAGAGGACGTGGGCAGAGAAGGGGCACCACCAGGGAGGGGCACAACCCTCATTCCCTTTCTTACTTTCCCAGGAGGCGAGCTGAAGAATCCCGTGTGCACACAAGAATATACAGATGTTCTTCCTTGTCGATTTCCTTCAGATGGATTCCAAATTTTTACACAGTAGAGAAAGCAGAGAGTAAGACCCAAACCCTGCACTGGGTATCCTGTGGGCAGTTGGGCAGTTTTCTGGCTTTCATTTTTCCTTAGCAAAAGATCTGAACTGCAGGGTGAGTACAGAAAGCAAGAGGATAGAGAGGTGGTGCCTGGTGGGAGCTCTGGCACTGAGAGGCTGGGAGAATCACACCATGAGATGACAAGATATTCAGAGGCCATGAGAGACAGGATCCAAGGGAAAGGAGCGCATGCCAGACCAGCGGTGTGCTGCAAGCTCAGAAGTGGACAGGCTAAGGAAGGCTTCTGAGCAGGCGGTGCTAAAACTGGCCTTGAAGGGTGGCAGCCCTCCCTGCTGTGTTGATTCCACAGAGCTGCTCCCGTGCCTGCACTCACCTTTTCCAGAGTGTATGTTGCCCGTTCAATGATCTCCGGGAAATGTTCATCGTATTCTCGGATGACGTCCTTCAGCATGTCTGCAGGAGGGGAGAGTTGGAGACAGTGCCTGGGCTGAGCAGGGGCTGCGACTCGGCAACCCTGCTGAGGGTGGCCTGGTCTGGTTCTGCGAAATGCAGGAACCAGCCAGGGCCTGGTGAGTTGCCCACAGAGGAGGGATTGGTGGAGGGGCACAGGCTGCCCACCTGAGCGCTTAATGGGAATCTTCTTATAGTCCTTAATCATCAAGTATTTCACCAACTTATTTGCCTGCAGGAAGAGATCAAGGTGTGGGTGAGTGTGGAGAGCTGGCCCACAGGGAAGGAGAGAAGGGCAGCAGGGAGAGTGGATTCCTTACCCTCTCTTGCAGAAGGGTCACGTTGCGAGGGGGCAAGCAGAGTACATGCCTTGAGGGTATCTGGGACCTCTGGGTCGTTGGGGGCCCTGGGGCCAACTGAGCCCGCACCGTCAGTGAGGGCTGTGATGCTCTCCAGGTCGGTGGGACTGTGGGAGTCTCTCTCTCCTCCTCACTGCTCTCATATTCATCATCCAGGTGCTTAGACTGTATCACCAGTGAGAAGAGAGACTCAGGGTTACCAGGATTCCTGGGAAAAAGTGCCTGGCACACACCTAACCCACAGCAGTATGTGGAAAGTGAGAGTAGCACCAGCGGCAGCTGGCACATGCTGGGTGCTTACTAAGGGCCGGGCACGGAGCCAACCTCTCCTCCTACCAGCCCCAAGGGTGAGAACTATGTGGAGTAAAAACATGCTCAGCAAACGTGTGTCAGGACACAGGGCTGAGCTAGAGAAGAGCAGAGGGGCGGAGAGGACAGGCGAGGGAAAGAAAGGCCCAAGGCAGTGTGTAGAAGGCAGGGCATCTCACCTTCTTGGTCCTCTTGCCTCCTAGCCTGGCCCAGGGATCAGCACCAGGCTGAGTGGTGGCGATGGCACTCTCAGGCTCAGGGATGCTCGTGGCCACCTTGGCCTTGGCAGCAGCAGCTGTCATAACATTCTGAGGCTCCACCCATCGAGTCTTGGCCAGAGCCTTCCCAGACTTGGCCGTCTTGGGCCGGGTGGCTGCCACCTCCCTGGCAGGTGCCGCCTGGGGCATACTGGAGGCACCACTGGGGCCCTCTGTGGCAGCCTCTTGGGCCGGGGCAGGTCTCTTGGGGCGTGGGAAGGCCATGCCACTGACACCTGCCGGCTGAGTGAAGTCAAAGACGTCCTCCTGACCCAGGAGGGCTGTCTTGGGCTGGGTGCCGTCCATCTCACTGGCACACGGAGCCTGAGAGAAAGTACGGGCAGGACTGGGGCCCTCTGTGGCAGCCTCCTCGGCCTGGAAGGATGTCTGGGACTGGATGGATGTTGCCGGAGCTCCCGGGCCAGCCGTTTCAGTGGCGGCTAACATCTCGGAGGCCTGCGGAGGAGCCAGGGGTGTCTCGGGGGTGGTCCCCTGGGCCTCGGTGTATGTCATGGGCTGCGTATCCTCTCCTGAGGCCTGCTGTGTGGCCACCCGCTGGTTGGTGACCACCTGATTGAAGGAGTTCCGGGCAGCATCCCGGGCAGCAGCGGCAGCGGCCCGAGCGGCATGGTTGGAGGCAGCGGCACGGGCTACATTGGCAGCACGGGCGGCCGTCTCATTGGCAAGTGTTTCTGGATCCAGCTGTAAGGCCTCCACCAGGGTCTGGGCCAGTACGGGGTTTTCCAGTTCCCAGGGTTCATTCTGCAAGGCCAGAGAGAAGGGTAGGGAAGGCTGATAACTCTGCACACTTGTGTCACCCTTCCCTGTGCTGGCCTGCCTCCTTCTAGCAGGTCGTCCTGACTACCTCAACACTTCCCCAAACCTCCTTCCTCTGAGCAGGAGAGGGAAGGTTTGGGAAGGTGGACAGTCCTTCCCCATTCCAGCCAGCCCTTCATCCACCCTCTCCCTCCACTCCATACCCCAACACACCCCCACACACAAGGAAGAAGACCCAGGACAAGCCACAAAAGGGCCTCACAGATAAGATGTGAAGGCCTGGACCCAAGCTGCCAAAGGCTCTGAGGAGATGGATGTCGAAGCTGGTGAGGGTGCCATAGCTACCAAAAGCACCAAATTCTTCGTAGTCATTTCCTTCAACCATGTCTTCCTCCCCTACTTCATCACCACCCTCATCCATGTCTTCAACATTGTAGCTTTCTGATTCCACTCTGTAGCTTCCCTCAGCCATGCTGCAGGTTCCAAGGAGAAGAGAGTCAGCCAGAGAGGGAGGATGAGGCAGCTTTAGGGGGAGGGGGTGGCATCCAGTGGGAGGAGGGATCTCTCTGAGTTGAGGGGAGACAATCATCAGGTTACTAGGCAGTAGGGGTGCAGGTTCTGGTGGGACAGACTATGTCAAGGATGGAGCCCTAGGAGAGAAACCGAGGAGGTCTGAGGAGAGGCCTGCAAATGAAAGGGGAGTTTAGGAAGGCCTCCCCATCTCAGTGGGGGAGGGGCTAGTTGGATGGAGGTGGGGGCGGGGAGTTAGGTCTGGCGTACTAGAGGGCTTGGGTCCCTGAGGGGGGAAATTGAGAGAGGGAGAGGGAGAAACAAAGGGCTTGAGCTGAAGGGCTTGAGCAGGGGACCAGGCTGACAGGGAAGCAGACAGAGGGCTCAGACAACAAGGACGGTGGAAAAGCTCTGGGAAACAGAATCCCAGGGACCTTTTTAGGCTAGGGCCGGGTGCGGAGATTCAGCTGATTCCGGTCTAGGTTGACCTCGGACTGGACTGGAACGCTAGGGGCGGATGGAGTGGGGGCCTGGGGCCCAGGAGAGGCTACAATGTGACAACCGGAGCTCCCAAATCCAAGAACTGGAACTCCAAGAAGGGGGCAAGGTGGGGGTGGATGCCTCCCTCCTCTCTAAGGAAGCTCAGCTGGGAGCACAGGGGTCAGGGTCGTGGGATCCGGTATAAGGAGGACTCGATCAGGCGCCCCCGGGTCTGATGGCGATGGGGACCGAGTGGAGTGGGTTTGCAATCTAGATCTGGGTCTAATAGGGTTCCGGCTCTGAGTGTTTGGGCTTTGTTCAGATCCGGAGGCGGGGGCGGGGGCGCGGCGCGTGTCGGGTTCCACTTCCCCGCTCCTGGTTCTGTCAGGGACTGGATCCTTACCTTCCCTGGGGCTCCAATGGCGTCCGTCTTCAGCACCGGGAGTCCCGCAGCCGCACCCTCGCCTACTGCTGCCAGCACAGCAGCTCCGACCACCCCGCCCCTTTTCTCCGTGCACCCTCCCGCCGCGTCCGCGGCCAGAGAGTGTGCGCATGCGCGGACCCCTCCGTTCCGCCTGCTTTCCCAACAAAAGCCCTTTTCTCCAGGTCCTTAGTGCGCATGCGGTTCCGTGGGTGGGTGGGCAGGGGTGCGTGTGCGTGCGTGTGTGTGTGTGTGTAGGGGGGGTGGGGGGATAGATCTTCTTCCCACTTGATTCCCTTCACCCTTCCGCCTCCTCCAACTCCAGGCGCGCACACACTCTTACCCTGCAGTGCAGCTCGACCCACCCAGTCATCTACCCTCAATCCCCAACTTTTGCACAGGGCTTCTCAGTCCTGCCCTGCTCTTTCACCCATGCTCCTGCAATGGAAGCTGGGATTCCCTATGCTCCACTTCCCCAGCATGACTCCTTAGGTCACAGTGGAAGAGGTATCTAGCTCAGTCTCTCTGACTGCAACTAGTGGAAATCCTCAACCTGCAGGACCAGAAAATGGAGATGGCTAGAGGATGGCAGTCACTTTGCATTCTCCTGCACTGTGTCTTTCTATGGCTCCTAGGCACACTGAGAACATCTGCTACCTCAGCTATCCTGTGTGCAGCTTTTGAATGTCAGAGCAGAATCTGGGCTGGGACTTGCCTTCCTTTCACAGCAGCCCTGTCAGGTGGATGTCAATACACCCATTTTACAGATTGAGAAGCTGAGGCACAGGCATACTGCATGAACTAGACAAGGTCATAGAGCTGGAAGGGGGGAACAGTATTTGGGCCTTGGTCTTCCTGGCTTGAAAGCCCACATCCCGCTAGTGTTGGCCCAAGGACTGGGGCACCTACCCGCCTTGGTTGGATGGAGTGGCAGAACCTCCCCACCTCAATCATGTCTGTCCCACACGAGCAAGTTGTGTGGTCTAGGAGGCTTATGCTCATGCCTTGCATTCAGGAGGACACAGAAAAGGGCCCCCAGCCCCACCCCATGCCTGCTCCATTTGGGTCCATCCATCTGGAGAAATTGATCCTTGGGGGTCCATCCTCTGCTCCCACTGTCAAGTCTCTTGTCTATGAGTGACACAATCACTCTGCCCCCGAGGCCTTCCTGGTGCCCATTGGAGTGGCCTGCATAATGGAGAGCTAGTGTGTTTGAGCCATGGCAAATCCTGGTTCAGAGTAAATGTTTTCCCTGGTTCCTTCAGGGTCTGGGGCCTGGGGCCTGGGGCCTGGGGCCTGGGCCCTGGGCCCTGAGACCTGGGGCAGCTGTGATCTTAAGGAAGGAAGCTGGGCTGAGCTTCGGAATGCCAGGGATGGAGTGCTGGCCCGTCTGTTGCTAGCCAGGTGAGCCCAACTCAGGTCACTCGACTTCTCTGAGCCTGGTTTCCCAAAATGGGAAGCACAGTAAATGAGGCGTACCTAAGGACACACATGCTACTCCGCTTTCAGGATGACTAGAGAGACTGCTTTTGAGGTAGGACGTGCTATGGTTCTATCTACATTGAACCTGGACTTTTGACAAAATCCAGACTGGATTCATGTAGCCCTTTTTCTACTAGGCCCCCTGTGTGTGAATGGAAGCTACTGCTAGGACCATCGCTTTACTATCCAGGGACCACCCTCAATTCTGCCTGGTTCTGTGGCTTTCCTCAGCTATTGTACATCAACCTCTCCCTGTCAACTACCTGTCTTTAAGCCCTTCCTCTGTAACATGTCCTCCGTGGGAGATGACCAGACCTTGCACACAACAGCCTCAACAAGTATCTTCATGCTGATAACTGTAAAATACACACCCCTAGTTCAAACTTCACTTTCGAGGTCCACTTGCATACAGTCTCCTCTCAGCGTGCTGTCTCCACTTGCTTAGCCTTTCTAAATGTGATCACTTGATATACTCACCCCTCCCAAATTCTCCCGCATCCCCGGCTCTCTCCTTTCTTTCCCTTCTTCACAATCTCAGGAAGCGGCATGATTACCAGCGCCTCTACTCATTGCCCAAACTGGGGGTCATCTGCTACCGTTCCCTCTTCTTCATACACTGCATTCCAGATGGTGGGAACCCTCTGAATGCCTCCAGAGTTGCCTCTCTTCAGCTCTCTCCATTCCATTACCCCCAGCAAATTCAAGTCATACTGGCCTCTGTGAGTTCCCAACTCTATCTCCTTGACTCAGGCCGTCCTTTGGGCTCTGTGTTCATTTTCCCTGTGCTGCAGCTTGGAAACTCCATCCAGGCAAGAAGTTGGGGGAAATCGGACAATCGGGGAGGAGGATCACTGTCCTATGTGGCAGGTGGTGCCATGAGGTAAAGCCATTTAATTCTTCGGTTAATGTGTAGTTAGGTGGGAGGATTATTCCGGTTCCTGTTAATCCATCATGGCTGGAAGCATAAGTATCCATCAGATTTCTTAAACGTTTTCAACAGGAGCCCGGTGCCTTTATGATATAGCCATGTTCCTGTTCATATGTCTTCAATGTATCCAAGCTGCTATTCACAGATGATCCATGGTGTTTATTCGTGGTATTTTACCTATCTTCACTCCCAGGGATTTACCCTTCCTAAGTAGTTATTAAAATCTGTACAACATAAGAAACAATCAGAAGACTGAATTAAAGAATGGCAGCACACTTTTCTTCAGCAATAAAGCCAGTGAGAAGCAAGGGGCATCCCCGTCTTTATAAGAGTGAAATAAAAAGAACAGTCCACTCAGAACTCTATACTCAATGAATATCTTTATATAATAAAGTTAAACTATTAGATTTTCCTGACACACAGAAGTTAAAAGAATTTATCATCAGCACACACACACACCACTGTAGCATTTGTTTTAAGAAATGTTAAAGGAAATCCTTCAGGTATAAGAAAAATGACACTAAATGGAAATTGGGCCTATGCAGATGAATGAAGAATACTAGAAATAGTAAATTTGAGGATAGACATAAAATAGTTGTTTTTAATTTAAAATATCTTTAAATAATCAAAGAAATAATCAAAGAAATAATTTATAACAATACATAGGAGGGTTTGTAAGTTTTGAAGAATTGATTTCCTGCATATTAATAGCACAATGACTGGGTGATAGATGTATACTGTGGTTCTTACTTTATATGTGAAGTGGTACAAGAATATTACTTGTAGGCAAACTATGATATGTTTAAGATTCCTCCATTATGAAACCCTTTCTTTATTGGCCACTCAAACAGTTATGACTAATAAGCTGACACTGAGGTAAATGGAGTCATAAAATGCTCACTTAATATAAAATAAGTCTTATAAAGTGGGGGGGGGGAAATAGGAACAATAATAGATGGGCAAATCTAAAAAATACCAAATTGGGCAAATCTAAAAAATACCAAATTACATGATAGCTTTTAATCAGCTACAAAATACGTGGTAGCTTTTAATCAGATCATATCAATAACCATACTAAATACAAACGGTCTAGACACGCCTATTAAAAAGTAAGGAATGACAAAAGTGGATGTCTTTTCTTTTTAAATAGACTTTTTCTTTTTTTCAAGTTCACAACAAAAACTGAGCTTAGTGCATAGAATTCCCATATTCACCCTGCCCACACAAAGGCACAGTGTCACCCATTATCAACATCCCTCTCCAGAGTGGTACATTTGTTGCAACTGGTGAACCTGCATTGACACATCATTATCAACCCAAGCGATAGTTTAGGTTAGGGCTCATTCTATGTTTTGTACAGTCGTGAATTTTGATAACAATATAATGACAACATCAGAGTCAAGTCATTCCGTTACCCTAAAAATCCTCTGTGTTCCACTTATTTTTCCCTCCCTCGTCCTAATCCCTGGCAACAGCTCATCTTTTTAATGTCTGCATGGTTCTGTCCTTTCCGGAATGCCAGGTAGTTAAAATCATACAGTATATATAGTCTTTCCAGATTGGTTTCTTTCACTTATTTATAGGCATTTAAGTTTCCTCCATGTCTTTTGGCAGTTTGATAGCTCATTTGTTTTAGTGCTGAATAGTATTCCATTGTCTAGATATATCACAGTGAATCCATTCATGTACTAAGAACATCTTAGTTAATTCCGAGTTTTGGCAATTTTGAATAAAGCTACTATAAACATCAGTGTATAGGCGTTTTTGTGTGGACCTGTATTTTCAATTTGTTGGAGTAATTACCAAGGAGCTTAATTACTGGATCAAAGGGAAAGAAGATGTTCAGTCTAGTAAAAGACTGACAAACTGTCTTCCACTGTGGCTGTACCATTTTGTATTTCTGCCAGCAATGAATTAGAGACCCCATTGTTCCACAAATTGCCAGCATTTGGTGCTGCTGGTGTTCTGGATTTTGACCCTTCTAATAAGTGTATGGTGATATCAGAGTTTTGTTCTAATTTTCATTTCCCTAATAATATATGATTTGGACAAACTGGATTTTAAAAAGCAAGACCAAGCTATATGTTGTGTATATGAAATGCGCTTTTGATATAATGACCCAAATAGGTTAAAAGTAAAAGGATGAATAAAGGTATACCATGTTAGCACTAATTCAACCAAAGCTATAATGGCTAAATATAGAGAGATAGAGAGAGAGATAGACATTATGTCTTTATATATTTAAATGTACACCCATAAATCATATATATATATATATGTGTGTGTGTGTGGGTGGGTGGGTGCGGGTGTGGGTGTGTGTGTATTTTCTTCCTTTTTAAATTTTCATAAAGCTAAATGACAGGATTTTTTAACAGATAACTTCGCATTCTTTTCTTTGTTAAATGTTTCTTTCCTTTTCCCTAACCCTCCTGCCCACCTTCTACCACCCACTCTCTACCACCCACCTCCCTCCCTTACAGTCTCGGCTATCTACACTTGTCCTCTCTCCTCTCCTATCTTCGGATCTTTCAATTTCTGCCATAGAGTGCAGACATTTGATACATATTGAGTGAGGATATACGGTATTTGTCTTTCAGAGTCTGGCTCACTTCACTTGACATATATATATACATGGGAACATATATATAGATGGGATTGGCAGAATGGCTATGTCGCTGGACTCCCATGTAGTCGACCGCAGTTCGAGTCCCGGACCGGT